TGTAAGGCACTGGGTCACCTTGCTCAGCACCCAGGGACGCTAACGGCTCAGGTCAGCACTGCCGACCGGGACGTTAAATGTCCCATCGGGGGTGCTGCCCAGCTAAGGCAGGCTAGTGCCTACCTGTTCCGACACTGCGCTGCGCCCCGGAAGCGGCCAGCAGCAGGTCCAGCTTCTACGCAGGGGGGGCTACGGGGCTCTGCGAGCTGCCCTGCCTCAAGCACTGGCTCCACAGGAGCTGAGGGAGAAGTGCCTGTGGGCGAGAGCCATGCGGAGCCGCTTGCGCGTCTCTGCCTAGGAGCCGGACCTGCTGCAGGCCGCTTCCGGGCGCCGTGCTGTCCGCGGTGCCAGGACAGGCGGGGAAGCCTGCCTCTGCATCCGGCTGCACCACTGACCAGGAGCCACCGGATGCAAGTCCACGCCCCAACCCCGTGCCCCAATCCGCTGCCCCAGCCCTGAGCCCCCCCAAACCCAGAACCCCTTTCTGCACCCCAAACCCCTCATCCCTGGCCCCAGCACAGAGCCTGCACCCCCAGCCCAGAGCCCTGACCCCCTAGTGCACCCCAACCCCTGCCCCAGCACAAAGCCCCCTCCCACACCCTGAACCCCATTCCCGGCCCTACCCCGCAGCCCTCACCGCTGCACCCCAACCCTCTGCCCCAGCCCTGATTCCCTCCGACACTCCATATCCCTGCTCCATTGGGTCACAGTCATCAACTATTTTCTTCAACTGACTCCCCAGAAAAAAAGTTTGAAAACCACTGCCCTATTCTTCTCCTTTAAGGGAAAATCCATTTCCCAGCTGGCCGCCCAAGGCTAGGGGAAGGACACACATGCACACGCATTTAGCCAGTTAGACCTGCTTGGGGACCTGAACTCCTTTTGGATAGATTTCTTCACTTGTCCCCTTTGCTCGGCCCTGTCATTACAAGGCCACACAATGGCAATACCTCTGACAACAGCTCACACATTTTTGTGGTGGGCCTTACATGATGGTGGCTCTCTTTAGTAACAGATTCCAAGGCCAGAAGGAACCATCTGATCTGATCTTGAGTATAGCGCAAGCCAGACAACTTCCCAAATAATGCCTAGAGCAGATCTTTAAAAACAAAACAAAACAAAAAAAAACCACACACATTCAATCTGAATTTAACAATTGTCAGTGATGGAGAATCCACCCTGACCCTCAATAAATTGTTCCAATGGTTAATTACTCTGACTGTTAAAAATGTACACCTTATTTCCAGTCTGAATTTGTCTAGCTTCAACTTCTAGCCACTGGATCATGTTAGACTTTTCTCTGAACCCACTCTAATGTATCAATGTCCTTCTTGAATTGTGGATACCAGAACTGGACACAGTGTTCCAGCAGCACTTGCACCAGTGCCAATACAGAGGTAACATAATCTCTGTGATCCTACTCTAGATTCAACTGTTTATGCATCCAAGGATGGCATTAGCCCTTTTGACCCCAGCTTTGCACTGGGAGCTCATGTTCAGCTGATTATCCACCGACAGGTTTTGAGAGTCACTGCTTCCCAGGGTAGAGTCCCCTATGGGTTCCTAGGGTTCCTGGTGAGTATGGCCTACATTCTTTGTTCCCAGATGTATACATTTGCATTTAGCCAATTTAAAATGCATATTGTTTAAAGGCCTAACATTTTGTTTGGACAGAAAGAAAAGAACCGAGACTTACAGGGCCAGAGCTTCAGCTGTTTGACTGTGATGGAGCTACATTACTGATCCACACCAACTGAGGATCTGGATCTTAGACTCCAAAACTGGGGAGGGCGAGGGAGTTCCATTGAACATTTAGACACAAATGAACATGTTTGGAAAATTCTGACTTTAATTGAAACCCGATTTTTTGTTTGGCTGAAACCCAAAACACTTTCGCCGTTTAGCCGCTAAGTACTAAGACCTGCAGCAACCGGTCTGTCTCATTCTTTTCCCCACAACACAGTGATCAGGTATCTAATTCGACAAATTTTCAGCACACTTAAGCAGCCCTCAAAATACACTGGAAATTCTGCTGTCCAGCACTGCTCTGAGATGCCCACATCAGCAACTCTGAAAATCGGGCTCCCACCGTTCCGATGTAATGCAATGTAGGCAATCAGCCCCATCTCGCTTTCAGCGTTGCCACTTCACTTTCTTCATGCAGCTCTGCACTGCAAGTTATTTTCCCTCAAATTCATTAGCTTGCATTTTCCCGGACTGCATCTCATTATGTTATTTCTTAGCTGTGATACGAATCTCTCTGGGTCCCTCTATATTCATTATCTCTTCCCCCTGGTGTTCAAAAAACATCTCTTGGTTTCGTAGCATCTGCCAATAGAATAAATGTGCTTTTTCATCCCCTTTTCCAGAGCGCTGAACTAAGGAGGGGAGGATGGTCTCATAGCCATGGCAGTGAAGAGGGATGCTGAAGAGCTGCCTCCCTTGGTAACCGTGGACTACTCCACGACACCGTAACAAACCCATGGTCTCCTAGGACTGCACGGATATCCCAATGCCGCTCAGCATGGCTCTCTAGAACTTTGCGGCAGCAGGGACAGAACTCGGAACCTCCAGCTGCACAGGGACCGGCCATTTGAGCTCAAAGGAGAATCTCCACAGTCTGTACCCCTTCTATCTTCTCCCTAGGCTGCAGCCATCCACTAGAGGGCAATGGAGTCACACTCATTAACTGTTAGCACCACCAGTAGAATCAACCACTATTAATTAATTGACAGGGCAAATCCCGAAGGGAGGAGATGGGGGTGTTCAGCAGCTCTCTGGGTTTGGCTAAAGCTAGCAGCGCAGAGCCTTCACCCGCTGCTCTGTTCTGATCCCATTTAGCAGAGAACAGTGGTTCCCATACTCATGAGCAAGATTACAATAATGCTCACCGGCCTGCCAGGGTGATAGGAGGTTACAGTATAAAGCACACTGCTGTCCTTGGATCAAATTTGTTGTTGATTATTACTGTTAATTGAAAATGTTAATTAAGTCGAGACAGAACCACCACCCTTGCAACAAGCCACTGGACCCCACTCCAAAATTCTGTGCATTGCCATTCCCCTGACCCTCTCTTTGAGGTGCGTTCAGTTCCCATGACAGTACTCAAGGGTCCCACAGTTTCACAGCCAAAGAATCCACCCATTGCCACAGAAATATTGTCAGCGTTCATTTAATAAAACATGTTTCTAGCACTTGTGTTTGCCAGCGTAACATTCCAAATGTGAGCGGAGTGCAGAGCGATAGAATGTGGCTGGCAGATAATGGGGTTTAGAAGGTGTTGACCAATTCTATTAATTTCACTGGGCTGTCTGATCTGAAACCTAACAATGATCGTTTCAGTGTCAATATTGTTCACTGCTGATCGTTTGTGCAAAAATACCCAGCTAACCTGCTTCTCTCCCAACCCCCAACGGCCTCCCACCCCTTCCCTGGATGCCAGCTGTGCCCTAGCCAGCTGACAACTTCCACAGTGCAGCTATACGCCAGCAGCACAAAGCTCTGTTGCATGCTGAAAATTAACAGGTGCCATGAAACACATTGGTCCAGATCATAAGCTGGTCTAAACAGGCACCTGCCAAGGATTCAGCCCAGTGAATGTAAAACAAAAATGAACAGCAGGAGTTCTGTACAGACTGGGTTATTAGTTTTCATATTTAATTAAATATAAACCTCTCACTTTTTTTTTATTTACCTTATTGCAATATTTCTATTCTGTTGCACTCCAGAACCCCAAGGCCTTTGCAACAGAGCTTAGATCCAGCTTGCTGCAGACTACACAGACCTTGACATTACGTTTCTCCAAGCCAATTCCCATTCATCCTTCCAGGAAGATGTCATGCGACAGACACATAGCAAATGCTTTGCTGAACCCCAGATACTCTACAAGACAACTGTTGTGTTCCCACTGTCCGCTAATTGTCTGACTTGCTCAGAAAAACCCACCTTGTTTGTCTGGCAGGTTTTGTCCTTTATAAAGTCCATCCTGCCTATTTCTCATGGTTGTTACGCTGTAAATGCACCTTCCAAGAGTCTGGACCAAAGAAAGTAACCATGGAACATGCTGACCAACTAAGTCTCTTTATCCACCTCTAGTGGCCGGATCCTATTGAGCAGTGTATGAGTCTACTACTGCACCCAAGCCTGCTGGTCCTTTACCTCAAGCAGTAAAGACTCTTGCTTTAAGATCCAGGGGCACGTGGCTCAATCCCACTGTAGCGGGGTGGTTCCCCGCTCCTGCCCCGAAGGGCTTAAAACAGCCAGGGAGCACGGCTGGGGCAAAGGAAAAGCTACAAGGCTAATTGGGGAAGCAGCCACAGCTGGGCCACACCCCAATCAGGCCACAGCTGGCCTGTATAAGAAGGCTGGGAGCCAGGAGCCCAAACAGTCCCTTTCTGCCTTCAGAGGGAGAAGAGCCTGACTGCAGTGAGCTAGAGACAGAGTACCTGAGTGGAGCAGGGCTGGGGAAAGGCTGAAGAGCTGGGGAGCTCCAGCCTGGAAAGCCCCAGGCTGCGGCCTAGTATTAGGCCAAGGAGTACTGGGGGTTGCAGAGGGCAGGTCAGGGGCAGGCCAAGGCAGCAGGTCCAAACCCACCCTTGCCAGTGATAAGTAGGCTGATACTGTAGTCTGCCCCAGGATGTGGGGCTAGATGATGACTGGCAGTGGCCTTATTCTGAGGTGAGGTAGGGATAGTGGGTGGGGGTTCCCCAGGGAGGGGAGACCCTAGTACTGAGGGGTGTACTGCCAGGGGGCAGCACCCCAGATACAAAGGCACTGGGGTCTGGGAGGGACATGGGGGCCAGAGGACAGGCAGACCACTGGCCTGCAGAGGGTGCTCCAGGAAGCTGAAAGAGCTAATTCCCAGAAGTCACCAGCAGGAGGTGCTGCAGGGGTGAGTCTGCTCCTCTACACCCACCGATCACCCATCCATGGGGTTGCCCCAACAGGGAACGTTCATAAAGTCAGTACAATGTCTTGCTATTTGTGGTCATCAAACTTACCCCTGGTTTGTGCCCCACTCATTCCGGATGCAGAGATGCTTGTGCACCGGGTCCTTCATGTAACCCTCATAGCAAAGGCACTCACCTAGGAATGGAGGTGAATAATAGAGAGAATGAATTGTACTGGCCACTGCTGGAGACAGGCTACTAGACTAGATGGACCAAGGTCTGATCCTGTGCTCTGAATGAACCCTGCTAGGGTGACCAGACAGCAAGTGGAAAAATCAGAACGGGGGTGGGGGGTAATAGGAGCCTATATAAGAAAACGACCCAAAAATCAGGACTGTCCCTATAAAATCGGGACATCTGGCCACCCTAAACCCTGCTAATGGGAGTCTGTGGGCTCCATGGGGGCTCACAACAGGCAGGGTTATTACATCAGGAAATCCCACCTCCAGGTGCCAGAGGCTGAAGTGCACAGATTGTGTAACTGCATTAACTCCATCCCTCCCGGAGATCTACAGGTGGTGCCATGGCAGTGGCAGAGGTGAGCCCTCACACCAAATACTGTCTCCTCTTCTCCTCCCTCCAGACCTTGCTACAACTGTCAGCGGCAGCCTCTGACCCCTGGTCTAAAGGCTCGGAGCTGGTGGTTGTACAAAACCAGCAAATGCTCAGAATAGAGTTCAGAACACAGCCAGTGACAGGGGCCACCACACCACCCCTTCCCTGTCCTCGATGGCCTCTTTGGGGCATTCCCCAGGGCCATAATTAGGGAGTAGCCCTTGCACTTCCTTGAGTATGGTGAGTATAATTCTCACCATTTATTACATGGACTGTGAAAGGGGGGGAAAGCTCCTTTCTTCACACACACACACACTCCTGCACTGTGAAGCCACGTAAGAGTAGGCCAAATCTGGCTCTTGGTTAGTTAATATTTATAAAGTGCTTTATGTCCCAGTCCAGCACAGCTCTTAAACACATGCTTAACTTTAAGGGCTTCACTGGGAATATTTAAGTGCTGAAAGCTAAGGACGTGTATAAATGCTTTGCTAGAGCAGTTTCTTAAAGAAGAAACTGTTAAACATCATTATTATGTGTTATAAACTCAGTGCACTGTCATGCAACAATGTAAATATGGTGAATTTCAGCACCCAAGCATCAGGAAAATTCAAAATTAACATTCCCAGAGCACAATTATCTTGGTCAAATTACAACAACATATGTACCACTGTGGTTTGGATTACTGTTTAGGCTAGTGCATTTATACCTTACAAAATATATTTTATGCGGCCATGTTACAGTAGCTGTGGGAATATTTGACCAATACTTTCAAATTTAGGCATCTAAAGTTAGACACCTAAACCCGTATTTAGACACCCAAATAAGCAGGCTGACTTAGAAAGGTGTTGAGCATCTGCAGCAACCATTGGCTTCCAGGGGATCTGGGGCTGCTCAGTTTCTCTGAAAAACAAGCTACTATTTAGAGCTCAGATTTTTAAAGGTATTTAGGTGAAATCAGTGGATGTGAGGCATCTAAATACTTCTGAGAAGTTGGGTGTAGTTGCCTAAATATGGATTAATGAGCCTATCTTTAGGAAGCCAACTTACAGTCATTAATATTTGAATTTCCTGACTCAGACACATTTAAATACTCAACTTTAATGCTACTATTTTGTTCCCTGCAAAATGGCCTTGCTTTTATTTTAAATAAAAATGAAGCATATGAATGGTATCACAGTAAAGCAAAGCGCAGACGACCTGAAATTCCACATTGCTCATGCGCTTTCCAGTATTTCTTGCCTCTGATCAGACCAGAAGCACTACAAGGACAGGCTCTATCACATGCTATTTTAGCACTTCCACCTCCTAGATGAAATTCACCCCCATGCAGAAGTCCAGTGTGATGCCCACCATCATGGTTGTACCTGGGGTTTGAACCAGGAACCTCCAGAGCTAAAGCATGAACTAAAAAAAGCCCTGTAGTTAGAAGCTCCTACAGCAAACAGTGGGTTACACCAACAAAAGAACTATGCACTAGACCACTTAAGCTCTGAGGGGTGGATGAGCTTCATGCTGGCTGACTAAGGGGAATTTCATCCCCTTTACATGACAGAACCCAGCATAGCAGAGGCCTCACCAAAAAGATTTCTCTCAGTTTGGGGCAAAGATTTTGCCTGGCTACTCTAGCCCAATCCATTTGCAGCTTGCTACTCTAAAAAAGCCAGCTTCCGTGCTAACAGATACCCTGTGTGCAGCATCACTGGAATAGGTGGGACTGCATAGAGGGCAGGGCAGCATAGGGTCCAAAGACTATAGTCCGACGGGACAGCCTCCTGCTCTTAAAGGGCCACACGCCTTTAAAACACAGATGAAAGAACCCTGAATTTTTAAGACCCGACCCCAAGGGGCTGCATCTGCTGTGACAGATGGTTGTGAACACATGGAATGCTGATTCTGGAGCAAGCACAGACTCCCAGCAGGGGAGCGAGTGGTTATTACAGAAGACGACACAGACTGTGCACAGGTACACGCTGGCCAGAGGGAAGATACTGATCCAGCTTCTGCAATGACTTAAGCCCGTGCAGCCCTGCCGGTGTGGTGCTGGGTGGGCAGCAGTGCCGAATGTGCCCTATGGCACAGAGAGAAAGGATCATGTGGCTGAGACACTGTACTGCAACTCAGGAGACTGGCTCTGCCGCAGACTCTCCGTGCGACCTTGGAACTATAAAATGGGGAGATCAGGCTTCTTTTCTTGGATCTATTTAAACAGTAAGCCTAGTGGTGTCAGGACTGGCTACCATTATGTGTTTGTACAGCTCCTGGCACAACGGGGCCCTGATCTCGGTTAGGACCTCTTGTCCCACGATAAGACAAAATCGTCCTAGAAGGAAGGTGAATTCTGCCCACAGATACTCCTAACTGCAGCAGCTCAAGTGGACAGGAGAGCAGTACGTGGGTCGTTGTTTGGAATGGGTTAATAAGCAGGCTGTGGGTAGCATAGGTGATCAGATATCAACACTGCAGGTGGCAGGACTGATACTGGAAAATGGAGACCTTCGTCTCTACACCACTCCTGGTCAGCAGGCACCAGAAATCTGCGCTAGCTGATGACTCTCCAGCTGCCTACATGAAAAAAGCTGGTGGTTACAATCCAGTTCCTGGCCAATGCTCAACCAGTTCTACTTGGGCCCCTCTCAGAGAGGCTGAGGCATGGAGACTGCACTGCCATTCACCCTGGCTGGGAGTAAGTCACAGTGCTGGGGAGCTAATGCTGCCACTGCCCATCTGTTCCATGGCTAAATCTGCAGGGGAAACAGTTTGGCAGCTCGCCCCAGCACTACATCGACTCAAAGCTGAAGGAAGAGATGTGGCTGGATGGAGTGATCCTGGAACACACCCAGGGCAGGTAGCTCAACATGTCCCCGAGTCTTCTCTCGGAGATTTTACAGCAGTACTCGTACCGGTCACGCATGCGCAGAGCCTGCCCCCCCCCCCCCGCTCCTGAGTGTACCTTAATAGTACGCATGCGCGACTGGTCTCCTCAGTTCCTTCTCTCCAACGGAGGCTACCCCAACTCTGAAGTAGAGGGGAGGAGGGTGAGTAGCGGAGCACCCACAGGGACACTCATCTCGAACGTCAGTTACTGCACAGGGTGAGTAACCTCATCTTCTTCTTCCAGAGGTGTCCCTGTGGGTGTTCCACTCCAGGTGACTGAAAAGCAGTGTACCTCAAGGAGGTAGGGACTTCGGATTTGGTAAGATACAGCTCTGCCTAATCGTGTGTCAGAGAGAGGGCCTTGAGTGAGGGCATAATGCTTAACAAATGCGTGTTCAGAAGACCAAGTGGCTGCTTTGCAGATGTCAGCCAGAGGAACTTTGTGTAGGTAAGCCACGGAGGTAGTCACAGATCTAGTGGAGTGAGTTCCGATGCCGGCAGGAGGCGTAACTTTCTTTATCTGGTAGCACAGTCAGATACACTCAGAAATCCAGTTTGAAAGTCTCTGGGTAGAGATAGGTGTCCCTTTGGAGCGCTCCGCAAGGGAGACAAAGAGTCTGGAAGAGTTCCTAAAGGGCTTGGTTCTATCCAGCTAGAAGGACAAAGCCCTGCGTACATCTAATGTATGCATTGTGGATTCAAAAGAGTTTGCATGTGGTTTAGGAAAGAAGGTTGGTAGGTGTATCGGCTCATTAATGTGGAATAATGAATGCACCTTTGGAAGAAGGGTAACCTTGTCCTTGAAAAATAGTGTAGAAGGTAGGTCTGCCATGAGAGCAGCTATTTCTCCTGCCTGTCTGGGTAGGTGATTGCCACTAAGACTGCTGTTTTCATAGAGAGGTGTAAGAGGGAGCAAGTAGCTAAGGGCTTGAATGGTTGTTGAGTTAAGCATGATAATACTAAGTGAGGGTCCCACAGAGGGGTAAGAGGTTTAATGTCCGGGTATAAGGATTGTAGCCCTTTAAGAAAACACTTGGTGATTGGATGAGCAAAAACAGAGGTATCGTCGATCTTGTCATGAAAAGTTGTAATAGCAGCTAAGTGGACTTTGATGGCGCTGAAAGAAAGGCCTGATTGCTTAAGGTCTAATAAGTAGTCAAGTATGAGTGGAAGAGGTACAGAAGTAGGAGGATGTTGTTTAGTTGAGCACCATTGTCTGAATTGCTTCCACTGTCGGAGATAAGTGATTCGAGTAGATGATGTTCTGCTATGTAGGAGCACTCTTTGAACCTGCTCAGAGCATGCTAGTTTGTTTTGGGAGAACCATGTAGGAGCCAAGCTTTGAGATAAAGCATGGACAGGTTGGGATGAAGAAATCGGCCGTGTTGCTGCGATAGGAGGTTCGGAGTGAGGGGCAATGAAATTAGTGGGCGAAGTGACATTCTGGTGAGGAATGGAAACCATGGTTGTCTGGGCCATGACGGGGCAATCGGAATTACCGTGGCACGATCTGTTCGTATCTTTGTCAGAACTCTGTGGAGGACAGGTATCGGGAGAAATGCATATAGTAAGTCCCGGTCCCGTGAGATCATGAATGCATCTCCCAGGGAATGTTTGCCCAGTCCCGCTCTGGAGCAAAATTCAGGACATTTCATGTTTTTCACAGTTGCGAAAAGGTCTATGGTTGGGTATCCCCAAATGTGGAAT